TGTCATCAGACAGCTGCTAGTGCCCACCTGCACTGCTGGGCCTGTGTGGCTGCTTTCACCCCTCTAGGGGCTGTGGCCTCCCTCTGAGCAGCAGCAGAGCCTATACTTGACAAGCACTCTAGGGTGATCCTGCAGCCCTGAGGATGTGTAGAAAGGAGAGAAGGCAAGGTGAGAATATCAGCCCCTGTAGACTAGGGGCAGTGGTACCAAGAGGAACAGCTGAGGGATACACGGTTGGATCCATGAAATGGTCACATACCCTCTGGGGACAGGGAGGGTAGCTGTTTAGGGCCTGGGTGTAGAGCTAACACCCTAAAGCCTCAGGCGGGACACGGGGTCACACGGAGCACAGCTCTGTTCCCACACCACAGCCGCCAGTCCGCTCTCATGGATCCCTGCGCAGGAGGGACTCCCGTGCACCCATGCCACAGATGGGAAGTGAAGCCTTCTGGGGGTCACAGCTCCTAAGCAGGTCTGAGCAGCACATCCCAGAGGGCCAGCCAATAGTGTGACAAGAGCAGAAGGCTGCTGGGGACCCTTGTCAGCTCCACATTTGCCCCTGTGTTTTCCCAAACCCAAAGTCCAGAATGATCACAGCTTGTCCATCACGGCAGGCTTGGCTGAAGCTGCCATGGACACATCTGTTTCTTTGCCTAAGACATGCTTAGGGGCTACACTGTGAGAGGCCTAGGTATGAGAATCCTGGGCATCAGCTTCTCTGTCTCCCCGTGGAGCGGGAGCTTGGGGAGACTTCAGGCCCTTCCCATCTCTCCTACACAGAACCCAGGTCAGAGCAGCCAGGCAGTAAGGGCGTGCAGAGCATGGCGGACAATGACAAAGCTAGTTAGTAAGATGTCACCCAGGACTTTCAACTTAATGGGTTTTTTTTTTTCATTTTTAACATTAAGTTTGTAACCAAAACTGGTAGACTCAAGGAGAGATGTAAAAGAAGCAAGAAGGGAAAGCAAGCCCCGGTAACTTCCTTTGCAGGCTGAACAGAAAAGCCATAGGCCTTAAAGGATGATGGCCACACAGGCTCCACAGGCAAGCCTGGGCCAGCACAAGGATGGAAGCTTCTCCTACACAGAAGAAAACAAGACAAGTAAATGACTTAGGACAAGTCGGGGAGGGACACCCACTCGTGAGGCTTGTTAGGAGACCGTGGACTTGTTCTGAGGGTGTGCAATGGAAGGTAGAGGACACAGGACACAGTTCTTACACACATCATCCATGGTAGGTCAGACCTAGTTGCTCTTATAGAAGGCTAATGCCTTAGAGAGCTTAAGACCTTCTAGAACATGGAGGCCAGAGCTCTGCTTGCCTCTGGCACGAGTTATTTGTGGAGGACTTAGGAGGTGCCACCTTGCACTCACTGCCCTAGTGGAGCAGCTAACACAAAGAGCAAGTCTGCTGTCTTCCTAAGCAGAAGGGACGGCAACCCAGGTGCTGTGCCATTCTCCTGTTCTGAGGGAGCACCACCAGTGGCAGGTGGCAGGACCCCGTGGGTCTGTTCTGCCTTCACAGCCTCTCAATCTCCAGAACTCTCTGAACAGCTCCCCTTTCCCAGCTGGCCTCTCTCCCTCCTTCCTTAGATGTCTTGTGTATATTAGATACAGTCTGTCCGTGAGCTCAGCCCTATTCTGCGTCTCAGGGGTCCCATTCCAGTGTCCTTCCTGAGCTTCCCCTCAGAGCCCAGACTGCACAGAAGTAAATAAGCCTGTGGAACCACTAAGCATGCAGCCCCCGCCATGCAGTATTCCTGTCACTGTCACGGTGTGGCTCCACCAAGCCCCAGCATGGCCTGAGCTCTGGTTCCTTGTCACAGGGGTGTAAACTGAGGGCACCAAGGGGTTACCTCTATCTCCAACCTTCCCCCTGGGCTAGGCCTTGCCAGACGGTAGAATGTGCACTCTAGTAACAAGTTGGAGTCTCTGCACCTCCACTTCCCTCCCAAGTTTCAAACACACTGAAACCTGCTGTTATATAAAGTTCCTCACTCTCAGACTGACACCAAAGTCAGACTTTAAACATTGCCATGAAAGTCAGGCATGGTAGTGTACTCCTTTAATCCCAGCACTCAGAAGCAGAGGCCTCTTTGAGTTTGAGGCCAGCCTGGTTCACATAGCCATCCAAGGATACACAAAGACACCCTGTCTCCAAAAACAAAATAAAACATTGCCATAAGACCCACACATCCTCTTTCCAAGGCACAAAGGTCTAGAAAGAAACATAGGGACCCGTTCACAGTTCCATGCAGCAGAGGACGCTATGACCTCGCCCTTCAGCCAAGCATCTAGCACCTTACAGGGGAGGAGTAGAAGGGCCACCAGCTGACCTGTGCTGTGCCTCTTTCAAAGGCCATTTGCAAAGACTCTGCTATCTCTACAAAAGGTTCAGCTGGAGGCCCTCCTGCTCCTCCCACTGTGTGGAAAAGGTATTTCTGCATGGGGAGGGTGAGACTTGGTCAGGGTCTGGGCCAGGATCCACCTTGCACTCACCGCCCTAGTGGAGCAGCTAGCACGAAGAGCTGCCCCGAGGCCTCACGTGTCCACCAGCCCAGCCTGGGCTGTACCTCAGCCTTTGAGCTGGAGAGGATAAAGGCAATGGGGCGGGGCTGGGAAGTCTTGACCTGAGCTGACCACCACACACACAGCCCAGCTCCTCAGAGTCAGAGGTGGCACAGGTGATGACCCATCTGGCAAATGACCCTTTCCTGAAAATAAGGCCCATAGTTCCTAACCCTGTGACTCAGATGCTGTCAGAGGTGTTGCCTGCTGTCAACCTATGGTGACTCAGAAGATGTCATTTTCAAACACTAGTAGCAATGCTTGCAGCCTGACAGCAGTTCGAAACTGACTCAGAACATTTCCAAACTCTTGCCACTGGGTTACTGGGAGCTGCTCCAGTGACACTTAACAGGATGGACAGTTCTAATCTTCTCTGACAAGACTGAGCAATGGCTGAGAGACACTGCCCTTCAAACTAGCTGAGCACACCAGGGGCTCCAGTGTCCAGTCCTTCTGCTAAAAATAGAGGTACCACCTCTAAGCTGCAGGATGCTGAGAGCAGGGGACTCACTGCACACCATGCCTTTCAGTTCAGAGAAGGTAAGTAGGTAGGGAGGGAGGGAAGAGGGAGGAGGGGAAGGAGGGAGGGGGGAAGGGCAGCTTACACAGACTCCATCTCCAGGTCATCTTCCTCCTGAGAGAGCTGCAGGTAGGGGTTGTCTGAAGCCGGGCGGAATTTATACCCCGTAAGGACAAAGAACACCAGTGTGGCTGTTTCATCCAGCAGCTGCAAATTTAAAATCCACCCCAAAATAAAAGGATTAACAATACTGCTCTTCAGAAAGCAAAGGAACTAAACAAGCTGCTGCCTCCTTCAGTCTCTACATGCTCCACCAACAGCAATAGCTCCAGAGGGGACACTGAGGTGTATCCATGGGAACCCACTTTTTTTTTTTATGATGAGTGGGTCTTAGTGTGAAACCTAGGCTGGCCTCGAATTCACTACCTTCTGCCTCAGCTTCCCAAATAATGGGTTATAGTCTTCCATCACATTGTTCATTTTATAACTTCTCTATCCTACTTGTTCTTTCTTTATCATTAATTGTGTGTGTGTGTGTGTGTGTGTGTGTGTGTGTGTGTGTGTACACTGTGGAGCTGAGTGTGGAGGTCAGAGGACAACTTACTTATGGAACTGCAATTTCTCCTTCCATCATGTGGGTCCTGGGGATCAAACTCAGGTCATCAGTCTTGGCAGCAGACACCTTTACCAGCTGAGTCATCTGCCCAGCTGGGGCGTGGGGTGGGGGTTCTAGTAAATTAATCCTTCTTCTTCTTTTTTTTTTTTTTTAAAAAAAACTTTCATTGTACTTTTTATCTATGTGCATGTGTGTTTGTCTACATGTGTCTGCACACCTGTACAGTGGATGCACAGACCAGAAGAGGGTGTTGGCTCCGCTGGGGCTGGATCTACAAACCATTGTGAGTTGCCCACCCTGTGCAGTTTCTGGGAACTGACTGTGAGTCCTCTGGGAGAACAGTAAGTGCTCTTGACCTCTGAGTCACCTCTCTAGCCCGACTGCACAGTAGCACTTGGAGACCCATGACTAGTTCTAGTTGTCTTACAAAGACAATTCATAATTATAATAAAATAGGTTCAAAAACCCAAAATTAAAAAACAAATCACCAAATCACAAAGAACTAAATTCAATACTCAGGCTCTGTGACTGAAGGCAAAGGTGGATACATTCTAATTACACAGAGCGAATCTCACTCGCTCCGCTTGAGGCTTTTTCTCTTCAAAGACTTAGAATTAATCAATAATGCAATTACATCCAGATTTCTCATGTAACCCAACAGCTCTTCTAGGCACACAGATCCCTGTATCTGGAGAGCAGAGGAGACGGAAGGTCTTAGCAGTCATCCCTGGGAAAGTCAGACGCAATCTTAAGCTATGGCCAAGACATGATCCTCAGATACAAATTCCAACCTGTCCCCCAAGGGCAGCAGACCTGGTAGAGCCACTTCCACTGGAATGGAACGGCAAACTTGAGAAGGAAGGCGATGATCCTGGTGAAGTAAATGTAGCACACGATCTACAGAAAAAGGACATCAGAAATTATAGTGCTGCTTTCTGCCACGAATTACCTCCAAAGCAGAAAACAGTTCCCCAAAGGAAAAGATGCGGTCTACAGCCCTGGTTATCAATGCAACAAGGAAAGCTGGAGGCTCTGCTCTACATGTCTTTCTCATGGTGGCTAAGACACTGACCAGACCCGCCCTGGGAGACTAGCCCCTTTGTATGGCTGTTCTAACCTTTCTCACCACCCACATGCAGGTCATTTGGCGTCAGGCTCCAAGGGCACTGTTTTCACCCTCAGGCCCGGGAGCAGTTCCCAGAAGCTATGGCGAAACAGTCCCATGGGGAGCACGTGGACGACACAGCGAGCAACTGAGGCCCAAACTCCAGGACATATGGAACCACACGCCCAAGCCGCTAACACCTTCTCTCCCTGTGATGAGGCCTCAGTGGACCGGCCATGAGACCATACTGAACACCAGACCAAGTTAGGGTTGGCTAGGCTTGCAGGCCAGGCCAGGCAGTATAGGTAGTGTCTTCCTGGTCTTGCCAAAGAACCACTTCTCTATATCGTCACAGGCATCAGGAAATGCTCTGTGGTGACACCTGTTCTTCTGATACAAGCTCCATATAAACAAAACAGAACAATGAGAAAGAGCTAGCAAGTACAGTAACACCAGCTGGATGGAGGTCCGCCCTGCTTCTCTGCTGCCACCTCCAACGTTTGAGCATTTGCTTGGGCAGAGCTGTCAAGCTTCCTTGTGGGAGTCAAGGAAATAATGTGCTCACGGGGCTATGGGGCTACACTTACACAGGCTTTATGTTCATCACTGACTTGCTGGACACAATGATGCATGCCTTTAACCCCAGCACTTGGGAGGCGGAAACAATGGGTTGAGGTTAGCCAGGGCTATGCAATGAGACCCTCTCTCAAACAAAACACAAAACCAAAAATCCCAAAACAAAACCAGCCTTAATTTTCTGTTTTTAAGGGACATATCACTGCAACACAACTCACTCCTGCCTGGCAAGTGGGGAGAGTGGTGAACACGCAGAAATGTTGGGAGGGGTGTGCAGAGAAGCACAAGGGTGAACCCATATTCCTAAATGGGCAGAAAGGGCAGGTCAGGGAACGACTGGGTGTGGCCTAGAACTTGGGGATCACATACTACCCTGGACACTACCCACCCACCCACAGTCACTCCCACACTCCTGCAGTTGTGGTTTCCCACGAAGTGTATGTGCTACTTTCCTAAGTATTTAAAGACACCTCTAACACTAAGGCTTAAAAGCAGCAACCCAGATTTTTCACTGCCACTTTAGGAGAGGGGACGTGAGGTTGTGAGGCCACTGGTGGGTCCAGGTGTGGTGGCTGCTGTCACCAGGCCCGCACACTGATCTTATTTACGGACGTAGTTTTGTATTTTACTCACCAAGACGTAGTAATGTCTGAAAAGCTTCAGCTTTGCTAGGTTAATGGCAGCTATAAAGAAGAGAATAAAAAGTGCATTAACTTTTTTTTTCATCCAATCACCGACCACCTGTCCTGCCACCTACTCCCATTCATCCATATGGAGACAAAGTCTTACTATGTGGGCCAGGCTGCTAAGAGGCAAAAACCCCTCCTCAGCCCTAAGCAGTTTGAAGAGCTGTGCTTGAACTTCATGGGGTATACAGATACAGAAGGGACATGATTTTATATCATTTATATATTATTTATATCATTTATATCTATCTATCTATCTATCTATTTGATTTTAAGAATCATGTCCCTTCTGTACCTGTATGCCCTGTGGGTGCAGAGGTGACAATCACACATGTGTGTGCACACGGATAGAGATAGATAGAAAATGAGACAGACAGACAGAGAGAGAGAAGAAAAGGAACAAGTTGAGTACCTGGCCAGTAGCATGATGCCATCAATCTCTCAACTGTTTGGGGCAACACCTCACTTAGGAAACGGGCCACTCTAATCAGAAATGGATGTTATGGATGGGATTTCAGTAAAGACAAGGGTCAGGGCTAACATCTCCAGCCCTGCAGTGCAGCTGAGGGACAGCTGCCCCCTCCGCCAGAAGCAGCACCAGGGTGGCCCACAGACCCATCTGAGGGCCTCTCACAGGAGCAAATGCAATCAACTCTCAGGTGCACTCGGGAAACCTCACTTCCATTTCCCTTACAGGCTTCAGAGTTAAGTCCTTGGAAATCAGGCTCCTTGGCTAAGCTTTCCCTTCAAGAACGCTCAAGGTCAGCCACACCGGGACACCCAGCTTCCTGACACTGCCTATAGCTATGAAATATTGATGACCACAGAGAGTAGCCTGGCTCCCTCCCCGATTAGCAACCCTTTCATTCATCACAGCCTTCCTGCAGGAGACAAATTAATTTTGCTTAACAGCATTCAATTACTGATTCAGTTTAAGAATGGGACTGTGGGTGGCAGACATTCAAATTTCTTCTTTCCTTCCCCTCTGGCTCATGATGAGTGGGGGAACGAAGCTTAGGATGCTCACAGAGATTCCAGGAACCCTAAGTCATTAAGGGTGCTGCCAGGTCTTCTGAGAGGCAGCCTTTCCAGAGAGTTCCAAAGTCCAGAGACACACTGGCTTTTCATGTGTGCTTGTGTGTGTGCAGTCATGCATGTAGGAACAAGCACACACACCCAGGAAGCAAGGGAGGTGACAATTGGCATATCACCCAACACTCTCAACTCTGCATCTCCGAGAATCAAGGGTTTTTTAAAATAAGCTCTCTGGTTCTCACCCTTTGTTTGTCCAGTCAATACTAGTTGACCAAGTCCTGACTTGTACCAGGCACTGGGTACAAACAGTGCTCTGAGCAGTTGCCGCATCATCCCGGCTGTCGGGGACACCCAGAGGCTGGGAGGGGTGTCATTGAGGACAGATGCTAAATTTGAGACACACGAGGTGAATCAGACTATCCTAGAGCTTCCACCATATTCTGCGGCAGAGTCAGCCAAAGCTTGAGGGCATTACACCTTGTCACCCAGGGCAACCACTAATTTTCTCTGTTCCTAAATGGCCATAAAGTGTTTAGTGCTCTCAAGTTCTCTTCCCAACTCTGCAGGCTGAAGGAGTCCTGAAGATGGAAGCTTTGCACCTGGAGAAGTGACTGCCTGGCAGGGGTGTCCTGCTCTCCTTCTCAGAGTCCCGGGTGCTGGGAAAGGGATAAGCTGACGAAGGATGGGGCCAGGCAGTGGAGGATGAGGCAGGGTTTTCCAGGGGAGTCAGGCAGGCAGGGAAGGAACCAATGAGCCCTATTGTGGAACAGTCTCATGGACAGGCAAGAGAGGGACTCAGCATGCTAGACCTTGGGGAGGCTGGCAACAGGGCTCGACAGAGAGTAAAGTAAAGATACAAGACCGTAAACTTGTCATTACTGGTTCTGAGGACCCCCGGGAGTTTTAACAGAGAAAGTAAGAGCCTAGCTGAGTGAATGACCCCGGAGATGTACAGTGACTGGATGTGGTCAAGACAGCAAGCAGCAGGGTCAGCCAGACACTGTGGCAGAGACTAGGAAGGAGTCCCACGGGGAACTATGAAGGACATGGGGCAGGAGGGGGTGTGAGGAAGGAGAGTTAGAGCAGAGTGACACGCTGGCACCCCATCACATGCCGTGATGCCACACCTCCAGGCTACAGACACTCTCTGAAGGGAGGTAGGCTACAAACAACGCTCTAATTGAGCTTGTGTGCCTGGCGCCCTCACACCAGACAGTTCACTACAGAACACTGCCATGTTACCCAGCATCCCAGGGCTGACAAATTGGTCTTGGAAGAATGTGAAGAGCTCCAGGCCATTTCCCAAAGCAGTCACAACGACATCATCGTTGCTAACACCATGGCATTAGTTAGCACTGCTGCTGGCAGGGACCAGGCCCCTCAGGCCTCAACCCTGTTAGTCAGTTCTCTCTAGCCATCCCTGCAAGCGTGTATGTGGAGGTGAAACAGGACAGAAGAACACAAAACACACAGGCACAGTGGAGCTGTATGTCCAGGGTTCAAACCTCAATTCTTTTGCCAGTTCTACTCATGTGATACTAAGCAAGTCATCTACCCTCTGTTTGAACTTCAGTTTGTTCATCTGTTAAGGCAGGAACAATAATATCTACCCATGGGGTCACTGGGGTAATCGGCAAGGTAATACAGGCAGCAAACAGCTCAGTACCTGGATGTTGTTCCAAGTTTATCAGAATCCTGTCAGGATTACATAGGGCTAGCCTGCATCGAAGGTGGCCACAATGACTGGCAGAAACCCAGACTCTAGTATTACTGGAACAAAATGTGAACCTGGGACTGCTAGCATGCCCAGGCTCTCCTGGAAACAGTGCAACCTGCTATATGGAATTGATGAGTCAGGGCACAGGGCAGAGGACCAGCCGCAAGGTGAAACCTTCCAGCATCATGAGAAGAGCAGCCAGCAGCAGGTCACAACCTGGAATCCCAAGCCTCCCTTTCTTTTCTTCCAAAGATTTCCTGGGAGTTTAGGAGGCTGACAGCTTGCTGCTCCCTGGACCACAGGGAGCTGGGCTCTCATGGGAGTCATAGTTTGTGGAGACTTGGCTGGCTATTTCTGACTCTGCTACATTGGAGTAGCAAAATATGGTCAAAGAATGAGCAGGCCAGAGGGAGTCAGGAGCCCTCAGTTCCAGCCCCTACTCCATTGTAAGTACACATGCCTGCCCCTGACCTGTGCATCCTCCTCCTCATCTGGAGGGAAGCTTCTTTAAGGCAGAGGCTCCTCCCCAGGGAGCACCAAAGTGGCCAGAGCTTCAATAATTAAAGCATTTTGCTTGCTTGTTTTCAAGACAGGGTTTCTTGATGTAGCCCTGGCTGTCTGAGAACTTGGTCTGTAGAACTCAGAGATCACCTGCCTCTGCTAGGGTTAACGGCATGTGCTGCCATCACCATCACCTGGCATAAATTCAAGGATTCTTAGGGAATCTGGCCCAGGCCCAGCTGTGGAGGTTGGAGATCCTGCTGGGAAGGGAACAGGCAGCATGGCCACAGCTCCAGGGATCCTCGAGTTAGAGACCCCCCACCACCACACCAGACTCTTCTCCTCCTGCCCAGAGGAAATGGGCCACAAGTGGAGCCTGAAGCCTGGCTAAGGCATCATCCTGTCAATGCCCCCAGGTCAAGAGTTCACACACAGCTGCTACAGAAGGTTCCCTAGACTGCCACCTCCTCAAGCCAGGGTGACCAAAAAGACCAAAATGCAGGTGGCAGCTATTTGGGGAGGAGGAGCAAGAGCCATTTGTCTTCAGGATGCAGCACCGAGAGCTGCCGATGGTCTTGGAAACAGCCCCACACCATGTCACACAGGCAAGCCTAATTGCTCTCTGCTGGGGACTGGTCAGGAGGTTAAAGGGGGCCTGAATTTTGATTCCTAGAATCCACGAACTGAGATTAAAAACAAACTCAAGTGTGTCCCTTTGACTCCCCTCAATGGGAGCTCTATGACTTACACATGTTCTCCCACTCCCTTGCATATGTATGCATGCATGTGCACACATACAAATAATAGATAAGGTAAAACTAAGGGCCAGGAAGATGGCTCAGTAGATAAAGGTGACTGCTACATACCTGACAATCTGACCTCATCCCTGGGAGTCACACAGATTCAACAGAGTTGTCCTCTGACTTTCACAACTTCACCCTAGCACATATGTGTATGATATGTATGCACACATGCACGCACACACACACACAGAGAGAGACTAAGAGAAAAAATTCAAAAATAAATAAAATGAAGGACATGAAAGGAGGGAAATGTGCTGAGAAAGGGGTCCAGGAGGGAGGGTGACAGAAGAGATGGAGCAGATGTAAACAAAATATACTAGACATGGATGAAGTTGACAATAAATTCAAAACCATTTCTAAAAGGGAATCGGAAAGGGAGTTCTGCTGCTATAAGCAAGCATATGCTGCTCCTGCAGAGGACCCAAGTCTGGTTCCCAGCATCCATACAAGCTGGCTCCCAACCACCTGCAAATCCAGTTCCGGGGGATCTGATTCCATCTTCTAGACTCCTCAGGCTCTACACACATGTGCAGAACCAACCCCTGCCCTCCCAGACACACATGAATATACAGAATTAAAACTTTTTCAAATCTTAAAACTAAACCCCCAAGAAGGCCAGAGACTGCTCACACCTGCCCCAGCTGACTTCCTTTGAAACTACCCAGAAACAACGAGAACCACCGCGACTGTCACTGTCTGCTGAGGGTGCCCCCACTGTGCCATTTCTTCTGCTTCATCTCACAGGCTCCTTAGAGATGTGCCTGGTGAAGGCTAGACAGACTCAGCCTGTAAGTGGAGAAGTCAGGCCTCAAGCCCAAGGCCACCATCCTTAGCACCAAGTTCCCTCTGCCTACACTCCACTGACCACTGCCATCAGGATTCTTGCTGGTGACTGCCAGGGCCGTTCTCAGCAATGACTGATGACTTATAGGGCACGCAGA